TCCAGGAATTTTGGCTGTTCTAGCCCTTTCAGGGCTGCACGTGGAGGCATCCGAACCACAACACTCCACTGGAAGCTTTGACGTCCCTGCAAATAGCAAAACAATAAGTGCACACTGATATTCAGTACATCCTTGTGAGTAGTGAATACTTTCTACTCACGGAAATCTTCGAAGCCGTCCATTCCGCAGCAGGGCCTTCCTCCTAGCTGTAGATTAAACAATGCTGCTGAGATGGAATTGCAAAAAGAATGCAAGAGATCAAATATTGACTTAGTTACCTTCATGATGGCGTTCCAGATTGCCGATGCTGCGGCCTCCTCAGGTCTTGTTGTATTACCATAGAGTGGAAGCAATTCATTTGTTGAATTCACGAGAGCCAAAGCCATTCGGTCTGGAGTGGCAAAGACTACTGCCACCGCAATTAGTTGGGCACTTAGGATTGCAACCAAGAGAGCGCAGTACTAGGAGGTGGATTTAACGAAGTAGAGCTAGGTTATGTGTGTATGTGGATGATTTAAGCAGAGGGACTCTTACGATCTTGAGCAGTAAATCGTAGCCGCAGCAAGAGGAGATGAAGCCAAATAGGCACAAAAGTGCTATGAAAAAACCAACTGAAATGAGAGTGTAAGCGACACCACCTGAATGAAGAACAGGGGAGTTAGGAGTAGTCTATGTTGAATGAGAGACAAGTAAGTGTACACTTGAGAGCTGAATCTCACGTACTGATATTCTCGGTGATAAATTGGACAAACTCTTGCATCTCTCCTGGCTCGACTTTGGCCAAGTCAAACACATTCTCCAACAAACTTTGTACAGCCGACTTGGAAGAAACCAAAACGATGCCAAAAATTCCAACCACAAGGAAGATCACCTAAAAGGAGCACAAGAAATGGCTGAGTGGATGTGAGGATGATGATAAAGTGGTACTTGGCAGCATGGCAACCTACACAGAGGATGGCGTTGAAGATTTGCAAAACAAATTTCAGACTACAGGACAAGGCACAACCCATTCCGAGGGCTGAAAAATAAGCAAATAAACTCAGTTAGACAGGTTATTTGGGTTAAACCCACACCAACATGTAGAAAGTCGCTGGTTAAGATGTTGTCACAACAGTACACACCAA